CTGGATTACATCATGGCATCTCATCAACAAAGCCCAGATTCAAACTCAGTCTGCCCACCTTGCCTCCCAAGGCTCCGCTGCTTCCCTCGCCAGTTTTGTGAGCTTCTGCCTACATCATCTATCAGCAGCTGCTGCTTTAATTCACTTGGCAACAACTCCCACTACCAAACAGATGCTTCCCAAAGGCAACCAGGCAACTCCTCTAGGCCCATCAACCCAGGGAAGTCCACAGTGGCGAATGGTGAACAATCACCTTTTCCGCCTTTGCATAGTCATTGGTCTAGCGTTCCATGGCTTTAAGTAAATAGTCAAAATAAGTTTAATAAACTTAAACACGAGTTTTAAAAGAAAAATCTCCTGAAAGGCAGATGACAGTGGGAGGTGTAAACCCCCTGGGGTGCTATTAGCAATTCGGCCTGTCCTGTCCAGAGGGAACGTTAATGGGGATCTTGCCAGTATGATTAAGAAACTGTAACTGTGTAACTGTGGAGAAAGAGGTGCGAACTGCAACATATGAACAGATGTCCCAGCAGGCCCTGCTGTGGTACCTTCCCCTTGAAACTACTTGAAACCGGCCTCCTGGCCTCCTCAGGAGGACGGCAGTGCCCGTGCTGGGATCATATGGTGCCTGAACTGCTGGGTGTATGAATCCATCTGGTCAGCCACTCTTGCAGATAAGGAAACCTGAAAAGAGAGGAGGCAGGTCATGGAGGGCAGAACCGGGGATAAGATCCACGTTTCTTTGCTCCCAGACAAGAGCTTCCCTCCCAAACCATCTGTGCCCCATCGCTGAGCCTGAGTTTTCACCTCTGTAAAATGGCAACCTAATGGAATTCATGGACGTCAAGGTTCTGCACATTAAATGAGATCACGTGTGAAAGTTGTATCCATTGCAAATGTGCAACCGCAAGGAAGTGGAGTAGAGAAGGGTTATAAAGTTTCTAGACCGGTGGTTCTCTGTCTTCCTAACGCTGCAGCCCTTTAACGCAGTCCCTCATGTTGTGGTGTCCCCAACCATAAAATTCTTTCTGTTGCTACGTCATAACTAATTCTGCTACTGTTATACATCATGATGTAAATATCGGTATTTTTCCAATGCTCTTAGGCAACCCCTGTGAAAGGGTCATTCTACCCTCAAGGGGTCATGACCCGCAGGTTGAGACTACTGCTCTGTAAAGACAAATCCGAGGGATCCTTGCTTCCCATTTTGCTTAGCTGAGCACCAATTTATTCTGTCGGCTTCCTGCCCAGTCTCTCCGTACAGTGTAAGTTGGCTCGACTTCTAGGTTTTGCTGCCTCAGGCTCTAGCCTGTTGTAGAGTTAGGTGTGGAACGCAGGGCCTTGCAGGCAGTAAACAAGGACTCCGCCAGTGGGCTATACATCCCTAGCTCTTCGTCACAGCCCTCCACCCTACTTTTGAAGGGAGCCTTGAAACTTGATGTTGGAAACAAAATAATGTTTTTATATCAGGAATCGGTTCCGATTACACGTAAAAGGTCTTTCCTTTTCAAGGGCTGCCTGTCATTTCCAAGGGTGTCAGCAAAAGCACAAAGTTTGGCGCAATGAGCTGGCAGGAATGACTCCCCACGTGGTTGACAGAATGTCAAGAGCTGTCAAGAGTAAAACCCTGTTGCTCCAGCGATCAAAGCAAATGGCCTGTGCTATTTATGGGGCCTTGTTTACGGATGGAAAGAAAACTCTCCAGGTTTGCCATCCCTATAGCCAGGGAGCAGAGCAGATTAGCCCTGCAGGGGTTCTGGCCAAAGGGTCCGAGAGCCAGGCTCTGCTCTCCTAACCTGTTAGCCCTTGCCCTTTCTGCTGCATCAAGATACTCTTGCCCTCTAGCTGTTTTCCAAAGGGGTCCTCCACAGATGCTGGAGTGAGCTGTGTAGTCACAGCCCTGTCCCTCAAGTGACCTCAAACACAGTAGTGCCAAGTGAGAGATAGATCAGTTTCTCTTGCCTCTGGAACCCCAGTCATCGCCCGGACAAGGACACAATGGGACAATACACCGCCGGGCTGCCTCCCGGAAGGATGTCAGCTCTATTTGTTTGTGGCCAAGACTCGGAAATCTCTTCCTATCCCTCGCTACTTATAACCGGGCTCAGTAAATCTGTGTGTTCTCCACAAAATGAGGAATGCATGTAGGGCTCGTTGATTCCTGACAGCCAGATAAACAATGAAGACTGCAAACTTGAGCTTCTTCCTCATCCTCCTGTCTAAAGACAAACGTCTAATGGGTTTTTCTCTCACCAGCAGGGTCTCCCCTTTGGCCTGACCAGACTGGATAGATGCGTTTAAGGCCTGTGCTAAACATGTCTCAGCTTATATGAAGCTATGGGCTTATCAGCGCCACTTTCTTTAAGTTAACTAGGTCAAAATTAGGGCAAAGGGGGCCCACCCTATAGTACTTAAAAACACTCAATAGACCCAGGCCCTCTCAGGGGAATTAGGGTCAGCTTCAGAATCTCCTCACCACTTTACAGGAACGCTTTCCTCTGTGTGTCTGCCTTCCCCTCCTCTGTCCCCCCTCCTTGCTCCTTCATTTTAATAGTTTGTTACCTGTTGCCTCTTGCTGTCTGAGTGTTTTTTGTTTTTTATTCTTTCCTGCCTTTAATTTCATTTTTAAAAGGAAGAAGAAAAGAAAGGCTTCCCTGAGTCTCACAGCACCACACTGATTCCGGGTTCCCGGGAAGCCGTGTTTCTGCGAGGCCTTGAGCAAATGTTATTCCGTGTTCTTCTCTTGTTAAGGGGGGCTCAGCCCGCACTGAGGGGAGCCTGCTAACCTCGCTCTGGAGCGCGCTGCCCCGCAGCTCCACCTGCGCCTCCACCCACACGATGCCTCCCCGCTTGCCAACTTCCCTCGATGTGATCCCCATCGCCCACTCAACTGCAGGCCTCCTTCCGGACCGCCCCTCACGATGAGTAGCTTGTCAGTTACTATACATCAAGCTGCCACCATCCAGCAACACAGAAAACCCATCTGTTCTCCAGAGCAGTCCAATAAGAGCCTCCACCCACCCAGCCCCCGCCCACAGCCGTCCACCAGCAACAGGCAGACTGTCGGTCCACTGTGGGTCCTCCCTCCAGGCCCGCGGGAGGCTCAACACTGACCTGGCCCCAGGGCTTGGCTTGGGGAATAGGACAGAGCACTCCTGGCTGGAAGCCAATCTGTAGCAAATGTAGGCCTCCTCGCTCTCAGAGCAGCCCTACCCTGGCAAGATGAGAGTGCTGAGCACACAGTCCCGGGGAACAACAGCACAGGGGGCCAGAAAACTTCAGTCAGTGTAGATCTGGAGGCGGGTGGGGGTGGGGGGAGGTCAGGAGTAAAAATGCTCTCCCAGTATGTGTGAGGCCCTTGGTTCAAAGCCTGAGACTTGTAGTGATGGGGGGGGGAGGGGCGGTTGAAGGATGAAAAAAAGTATGTATCTTTTCTCTAACTCAGAACCATCACGTGATTGCTACTGTTATCTCGGCTTCCGATCTCGGCAGCAGTGATTGCAGGTGCTGTTATGTAGATTACGTCCTTAACTTAGACAAGTTAGACATTTCCCCTGATAGCCACAGACCAGAGGTAGAGTAGTGTGCAGGATTCTGAGCTCCAGCTGCTTGCCCCCCTCAACACACACACACACACACACACACACACACACACACACACACACACA